CAGACCGTAATTATTGCGCAATATTTCGGGCCGTAATAACTTACGTAAAATTACGTTAATATATTTCGCTGATGTACCTAATCTTGAAATTCACTTTCTATATTCCTACCGGGTTTTTTGATGTTTTTTTTAAAATTTTTTCCAAAATATGGGAAATTCAGCATACCTCTTATAAAAGATCGATATTGTTTACACAGTCAAATCAAAAATAGCAAGTCATGAGAAAGTCATGCTACTACATGCTTGACTAACAGTGAATGACATGTAATGGATCCATAGAATAAATAAGAAAAATTTTGTACTCTTCACATCATCAAACTATTTTAATATCAAAGTAAAACAAAGGTGGGGATTGTTTTATGAAGTATTAAATAATTTTTTAAGCCCTGTACTGATGCAAATAGTGTTGTTATGTTTCTTTTTTTTTTCTTTGCCCTTCTTTTCTTTTTTTTTTTTTTTTTTTTCTTTTGTTTTTGGTTTTCATTTAGGTTTTGTAGCTTTTTCTTTTTTTTTTTTACTATTCTTTTTTTAGTTTAATTTTTTTTAGTTACTTGTTGTTCTTTAGGCAAGGATTATGAAATCCTCTTGCTCGATAATTAGAAGAGGAGGAATTTAAAGGAATTGCAGTCATAACAGGCCATAGAAACTATTCGTTAATATGCTTATTTACTTTGTTTGCAGAGGTAATAAGTAAGAAGATAAACTCTACTATAGCAGGTGGAACATAGGTGCATCTGATGTAACTGGGTTAGCTGACACTTGTAACTTAGATGACCAGGCCAATTGGTTTGGTAAAATTAATAGACTGTGTAATTTGTTTATTCATACCTAATAAAATGAAGACATGACTGCTGAAGTTAAAAAAAAAAATCTTTATTTATTTATTGACAATTATTAAAATATCTGTAACTTTGACTATATTAGCAAGACTAGAGGCTTAAAGTATTTATATAACATTATATAAAATATAAAAAAATACAGAGTTAGTGCAAATTCAAGAAAAAACCACCAAGCATAAGAATCTAAGAATTAAAAAAATTAAAGCCTACTCAAAATTCCGAATAAAAAGATAGCTAAGACTTTTAGCAAAACTACTATAAAGACTAGATCTAGAAAATAGATTTATAAGACAAGTAAACTAAATACAAAGATAGCCAGAGAAAAAAGATATAATCCTTCCAGGTCATCTGAATTGGAAGCTAGGAGTAAGGGACCGGGGTTAAGGTGAACCCTATAAGGACCTGGTAACTGTAGCGATTCAATGGTACAAGTATATAGGTAAAGCCATAGCGTAGATTACATAAAGCCAGGATTTTAAAGTAGGCGGTGGGGATCACTTGCCAATGGTAGGCATTACGGCATAAATATTTTATATAGGTGCTGGAGAAAGAGACGAAATTGACAAAAAAAAAATTATTCACAAAAAATTAATTTTCTTGTGAACTATCGATCAGAATCGTATGATTTTGATCGATGGTTCACGAGATAATTAATATTTTGTCAATTTCATCTCTTTCTCCAGCACCAAGCCCATATGTTCTGCCTCATTTCAAGCCCTAATTTTATTTTCGGTAGCTATCTATAAATATTTTATGCTTGATTGAGCGGAAATTGAAAACTACATATATCTACGAAAGAATTTCTGATACATGCTAAAAACACGTTTTGATGTTTTAATAATGATTTGATTTATGGTTGTATAGGATTACTATAAACGTAAAAATTCTTAACCGATGGACAATAGTTTCGACCCGCGTGATGGTGGTATGTGTGGTGATTGGGCGTAGTTACACAATTTGTAACGATGACTCAGCGCGCAAATTGTGAACACGATCTGATTTAGTATAGGCCAATCACACGTTGAATTTTAGTACGACGTCAAAAATAGTTTAAGGATCGCTCAACGAAACAATTTCTTTTGACTGAATTTTTTCAGATACTTGATAATTTCATGAATATTAACATATAATATACATAATATACACATAGAATGCATGTATAAATATAAATTACGCAAATACACTTTATTTTTTTATAATGTAAATTTAGTTTGCTAGGTTTAAATTGGCAATTTATAAAAGATCAAGTACAGAATCAAATCATACACCTACTTAGCCTTTTAATTAATTTTTGAAAACAATGCCATTGAACCTTTCTGCTACTCTATTGGACGATATTTCCCGTTTATATATTGATGCAGATGATTATAACGTTATTATTACTGCCGGACAAGGCGATGATGCTAAAGTTTTTAAAGCGCACACGGTGATTTTACGATCGAGATCTTCTTATTTCAGAGTTGCGTTATCGCCTAATTGGGCCAAGAAAATACCGTCACAATACAATCATGAATTTAACACACAATGTGATGCATTATATTTTAGTAAACCTAATATTTCACCAAAGGTCTTCGAGATTATCTTAAAGTATGTTCAGTTTGCAAAAAAATATAGAGGCATTTTCTTTTTAAGAATAATTATTAACGTTAAATCATAAATTTAAAAGATACATCTACACTGGAACGTGTTCCCTCGAAGAAAATGATATTCTTCTTGATATATTGATCGCTTCAGATGAATTTGGACTCTTTGAATTAGTAAATTACGTTCAAGAGCATATTATTTCTGACGAGACCGGATGGTTGCACGAGAATCTTGTCAAAGTCTTTAAAGTTGCATTAAGACATGATGAATTTCATCTACTTCGAGAGCATTGTGGTGAACTTATTAGTAAACAACCTGAATTACTTTTTAATTCAAAGGATTTTGTTACGTTGGAAAAATCTTGTATGATATTTGTCTTAAAAAGAGATGATATCGCCATGGAAGAAATTGACATTTGGGATCATATGATTAAGTGGGGAATAGAACAACATCCGCAACTTAATCCTGATATTTCAGCTTGGACTCGTCAACATTACGATACCTTACATATAAGATTAAAAGAGCTTTTGCCATTAATCCGATATTTCGACGTACCTGAGGATAAATTCTATGATAAAATTTGGCCATTCAAAAAATTTCTTCCAAGAAATCTTAAACAATCATTGACAAGATTTTACATCGTGCCTGGAATTAAGCCACCCTCATGTGCATTACCACCAAGAATCGTACAATATTCACCAAAATCTAAATTAGGATTTACCGGCTTACACGCAGCTCTTGTCGCTAATTGGATTAATCACGAAGACAACGAAATACCGACCACAAGCTCAAATATCTCTCATGAATTTAAACTTTTGCTTCGTGGTAGTAGAGATGGTAGAGGTGTTATAACTTTTCATGAGCTTTGCGATTTTAAAGGAGCCACAATAGTTTTGATCAAAGTTATGGGAACAGGAGAACTTATTGGCGGATATAATCCAAACCCTTGGACATCATCGGATAGATATATTCGAACTACCGAAAGTTTTATATTCTCTCTTGGGAATAATGCACAAGATCCAAGTAATTATATTTTGAGTAGAGTTAGATTTGCAGATTTCGCGATAAGAGATTCTTCGACAGTTAACACTTCTATTGGATTTGGAAACGATTTTTGGTGGTTCGAGGGAAAATGTATGCATTTTAATTATAACAAAAAAATACTTGATACGCGGCAATTTTTTTCTATGGAAGATTATGAAGTGTTTCAGGTTGTTAAGAAGGAATAGTTATAATTATGATTCATTTTGTTCTCTGAATTAAAATACACCTTGAGATATATTTAGATAATTTTACTAATAAGTTTATTACTCTCTTGATATGCTTATTATCATTATATATAATATATAGATTTAAATAATAATATTATTAATATGAGTGTTCTGCGTGTCATAAATTTGATAATATATATAGATTTGCATCTCTATAGCTTACGGTTTACATCACTTAACTCCATTCATTAATCGGTTTCTATAATAGTTAAATATAAATTCGGATCGGGTGATAATAACCCGAACTGCAAGAATCATTTTTAAAGAAAACAGTAGTATGACTAGGAATTATGATGTAATGCTGTGCTGTTACGCAATATGCTGATGCCGATGCTGATGCTATGCTGACACTGTGCTGTTACTGTGATTATGTAATTAAGCTCCTGAACTTCGTTTACAAAAAAATCATCTCACAGATATACATTTCTTTTTTTTGATACGTAACAATATTTATAATGTATTTACATATGGGTTCTTTCTCTTTTTATTTCATTAACGTTAAAAGGTTCTAACCTGTAGACCTTGCAGGTTATTATTATACGTATATGGTTACCGGTTAAGCAATTTTATTGGAATTGCTTTACCGTAACGCACGGACTAAAAATTCTCGTGGCATTTTAAAAAGAAAATTCGATAAAAATTATCCTTTTTTTTTCATGATAAATATGATAAGCAGACGATAAACATTGTGTTTTTTGTATAATAATTAAAGGAAATACAGTATATATCGTATTTATAATTTTTAAAGATTTTCAAAAATTAAGTTCAGCCTCATCGTTTTATAAGTAAAACAAATAAGGAACAAACAAAATTTCTTTTTCCTTTTTGAGACTAATAATTGTCTTTTCGTATAATAAATGCAGGGCCTGTTCTTTGAATTTTTGCAAAGAATATTTGATTGGTCACATGATCATAACGTATCATAATGCAGTAATCCTTATGCAAAATACTAATGTATGACAAATCTTAATCTAATTTAATGTACCAATAAAACTATCATCTTTACATGTGATACACAATAGAAATCTCTTAATAAATGTGGGATATCTAAATTTGGATTATGATCAAAATACAATCGCGAGTAATAATATTTATATTGGTGTAAATATTCAATGTACTATGGTGAACCTATAGCATTAATCCATTCATTTACTTAAGATTTCCTTAGCATTTCAGGAATTGGATTCCATAATCATGGTTTCGTTCCAATAATGTTTCGAAACTCTCTTAAACATTCCTTTAGATTTTATAATTTTATTTCTTCAATAGAAATCATTGATTTTTTTGCGGGTTTCATTCAATCAAAATCATTGGCTTTTGATGTCATTAATTACTATCAATTCCATTAGTTTACTTAAACTGCTAATATATAAAAAAAAAGTACTTACAAAAAATGGCAACGAAATCGAGAAATAGTAGTAGCTCTTCGTCAGGAGATGATTATAATTCTATTAATTCTAATCGAACTTCTTCATCTTCTAAATCATCTTTATTTGATGATTTAGAAATTAAACAACATATTGATATATATGGTACATGTAAAGAATGTCAATCTCCTAAAACTAGTGCAGAATGGTGTAGAAAATGTAATTCAGGCCGATTTCGCGAAAATTTTGGTATTTGGAGTAGTGGAAATAAGGACATTGATAATTTCATTTCGACTGCTCAATTGACCGCAATTGGTTGTTCTCAAATTCTAGAGTGGATCCCTTGGGAAAGGTTCTCAAGAATTAAACATGTCGGGTTAGGACGTTTCGGTTCTACTTATTCCGCTTTGTGGATGGATGGTTATATTACTCATTGGGATAGTAGAAGAGGAATTTGGGGGCGTTGTGATTCTGGAACAAAATTTGTTATAAAAATTATCCAAAATTCTTCAAGTAATATTTCTGATTTTCTTAACGAGGTAATTTTTTTTTATTTAATCAGGGTTGTTAGTGGTAACCTACCGTGGTAAGTTACCGCGGTAAGTTACTAAATGCTTGCGGCCATTATCAGAAAGTAACCGTGTCATGGTTTAATGTACTGTAAAAACTGTTACAGTTTATGCTGTAATTGGTTTTTGACTGAACAATCAACGAACATAAATACGGATACTTTCAGAATAAAGGATGTTACTTCAGCGGTAACTTACCAGTAACTTGCCACTTTGGTAACTTTCCATAATTTTATTTTATGCTAATGTGAATATTTCATTGTTTTCTTTTTTTAGTTAATATCTCATAAAAATGGCCGAAGTGGTCTAATAAGATGTTATGGAATCACTCAGCATCCTAGCACTCGAGATTATGCATTAGTGATTCGTTGCATAGAAAATGAATTTAGAAGTTACTTATATAAAGAGATACCTTTTCCAGAACATGATTGGAAAGCGAAATTAGAAATAATTGCCGATATTGCTTTGGTTCTTCATCGAATTCATGAATCTGATTCAATTCATAGAAATTTTCATACTGGAAATATATTAAGGCAAATGAATTCGATAATAATCACTGAATTAAATATGCTCAACATGGGTGATGATTCTCCAACGATATCACATTCTAGTAGCATATACGGTGTGCTTCCTTACATCGCTCCAGAAGTATTACGTGGTGGACCATTAAATAAATCTGCTAATGTATATAGCTTAGGTATAGTTATGTGGGAAATTGCAACTCAACGACCACCTTTTGATCTTAATGCACATGATAAATTTTTGGCTCAAAGAATTTGTTGTGGACTTAGACCACATATTGATCAAAATATGCCAAAATCTTTGGCCAAATTAATTAAAAGATGTTGGGATGCGAATATAGAAAACCGTCCTGAAGCTGAGGAAGTTTATATTTGGGTGCAATGGTGGTTGGATCTATGTAACGATTCTACATCAGATATCGCTGCTGAGTTTAACATCGCCGATCAAGAAGGAAAATTAAAAGATGGTCTATCATGGATACATCCAGAAGCTTTTTACACAACGCGACATTTAGAATTCCAAAGTTTACCAGAACCTGAAAATTTTTCTCCCGATACTTACCACCATATGGTTGCGTTCTGTGCAAGAATTCGTATGTCATCATATTTAACAGTTAAATTGATTTATTATTACTGTTATTATCTACATTATTTGATTGAAATTTGTTATAAAATTTCTTTTTACAGACCATTCAGACGATTTGGATTGTCATTTGGATTCTGAAATTACTGATATTTTTGGTTGGTAGTCTTCTCAATAGTCTTTTTCCGTAATTAAACATAAGATTAACAGTAAATTATTCATGTCTCTTTAAATAGCCTTTAGTTCGCAATTTTCTCGTCGGCCGTCAACTTTTCTTGACGGTTCAATTGCTTCTACTCCCACCAATACTTCAAAAGAATCATTACTATATCGTATGCCTGGTGCTTATATAGGTGCTTAAAAAATTAATGTTATTCTTTGCTGATCCTTACGTAAAAAACAAAATACTGACTGTTATTTTAACGGATTTGCTTTTGGTATTCTAAAATAAACAGGTAGTGCTTCGGACGATGGTATTGATACTTGGAAAGGTAATTAAAAATTATCATTATCCAGTATTTGTTAAATAATTATACAAAATTATGCCTAATTCATATGTTTTTCTTTTTATAAAAAAAAAAGATATAGGGAGCTATACTCATAATCTAATAATGTATCTCATACCTCATGCACTTACGTTGGTCTTTCCGACACTTCCTTCATTATACAAATCCCTACCAAATTATTTCAGAATAAGTTTACTGTCAATAACATTTTATGCTTTATTTTCTTGCATCTTTGCAATTACAAAATTGGTGCAGGCTTTTTTATTTTTTTACTAAGCTTTTTTTTCTTGTTTCTTTACGGATGCTTTGATTTAATTGTTGTTGCTTATACTTTTATATACATAATTGGGGGAATTAGGGTCTTTACAAATTGGGTTGAAATTACCATTATGTTTCTTGATTACTTTCTGGTACCCCCTGAGAAAGTAGATAATGTTAAAAATAGAGGTTTTAAATGCAGGGGCTGTAAATGTTAATAGAAAAAAAAAAAAACATATAGATATAGGAAAGTTAGAAAAGCAATTATTTTTCAACAGACATCTGGAAGTCAAACAAGTTTTTTTTGGCTAAATAAACATAAAATGTATGGGTTTGAAATTTTCTTTTTAAAAAAAAAAACAAAAGTTATCATTTTTTATTAATATTTAAATTACACAAAATTATTTAATAAAACAACCTTATCGTTATTGTTACTAATACATTTCGACAAAATTTATTAAAACAATAATTTTTGGAATAGTTTAGAGACAGATAAAGATATAGGGCTACTTTATTTGTGCATAATAACGTATTTGGTGTTATTTTTGAAATTCCATTTTTTTGACCCGAACACCCATATGCGTTCCAAAATAAGCATTCCCTTAAGTACACACCAGATAATGAATATATTAAAAGGAATTTTGATGCCTTATTCGAATATTTATTATTCGAATTTAGACGTCTAAATTTGAGACTTTAACATCTAAAGGCAAATATATGCTGATTAGGCTAAGTCGGTCGATTTTTTGAAAATAGAATTGATCGAACTCTTATTCAATATTCGTATTCTTTTTATCCGAATTTAAAATATATCAACATGTTAATTTTATAAATCATCTACTTGCATCTGAACTTCTTTGATCCATTTATTGGTCAAAAGTTGCTTCTAGGTTTTAGGTGAATGTTTTATTACTTAGATAAGTCGGTTAAGCAGATTTATAACATCAACTTAGTCAGTCGATAGTTTAAACATCGACTATAACATTATTAAAATCGAGAATATAGACAATAATTAGAATTAAGAAAAATCATAAATTCCAAGAGAAGTGTATTCTAACTGCTCAAGTATTGCTTGGAGAGAGAAACCAGTAGGTGAATATTGATCATCTTTATGAAGGGATTAAACTTGATACTTTCTTCTAACATCATCAAAT